CTTTCTTTGTTAATTCTGGGGCTTGAACTCTGGGCACTGTTCCTGAGCATTTGTGCTTAAGGCTAACACTCATCACCTTGAACCACAGCTCCACTTCTAGCTTTTTCTGTGATTAATTGGAGATAAGTGAATTTTCCTGCCTGTGCTGATTTTGAACCGAAGTCCTCAGATCTCAGCTTTCTGGGTAGTTGGGATTTTTTGCATGAGCCACCAGTACCCAGCTGGGCTTAATTTTTCTTAAATTTTTTTTTCTCAGAATTTGTTCTCTACTTTTTCTTTCCTTTTACTTTTTACAGAGTTGGGGAAGATGTACTGAGGTTTTAACTCGTGAGCTTCATATTAGCTAAGCAACTAGGCAAGCATCTTACTGTTTGGCTATTTCTTGAGCCTGTCTTTTTCTTTTTTTTGTGGGGGGGGGTGGTGGGAGAGGTATTACTTAATGAGGTCTTGTTATTTAGCCCAGAGTAGTTTTGGACTCCTGGGTTCCAGACATTCTCTTGAGTAGAGAGGAGTACTAGCACACCTACCACGTACTATAACATCCCCAATGAATGTGTCCTCTCATTAGCTCATAGGCACATAGCAAGCTTGGCAGACTCTTACATTTTCACATTGTAACTGCTATATTCAGGATGAAAAATGGAACTGTTATTCACAACAACTGTTGCTATCCTATCCATAGGCTTCATTTTCTCTATCAGCAGGACCTCTAGCCTCCCAGCCTTGAAAGTTGGTGTTTTATTTATACAGCTTTATTGCTGTCATACCTGGAACTTACCAGGGCCTTTTTAAACCATTCTTCAACATTCCTCAGATTTTAACTCCCTTGATATTCCAGGTACCACTTTTCTTAAGAGCTTATCCCACTTTTGGAGATTATATGTTTTAGAATGTTGAAAGAATTGGGAACATAAAATATTGTTATATTAAAATCAGTTTTTGTTTTGATGATTTTATTTCAGTTTGATGTGTGTTTCTTTCATATCTTTTACATTTATAGGTGTTTAGAAATATAAAACATAGGCTGTTAGAAATATAAAACAGCTGGGCGCCAGTGGCTCACGCCTATAATCCTAGCTACTCAGGAGGCTAAGATCTGAGGTTCATGGTTCAAAGCCAGCTCGGGCAGGAAACTCTTCAGACTCTTATCTCCAAATAACCACCAGAAAACCAGAAGTGGCACTGTGGCTCAAGTTGTAGAGCACTTCCCTTGAGCTGAAGAGCGCAGGAACAGCACACAGTTCAAGTCCCAGAGCTGACCAAAAAAAAAAAAAAAATACAGTGCAAAACCTTCCATGTATAACTTCTTGATACAAATGTTCTCCACAGGCAATGAACACCAGGGAAAGTGGCAAAGCTTCATCCAGTTTAGGTCTTCAAGATTTTGATTTGCTCCGGGTAATCGGGAGAGGAAGTTATGCCAAAGTACTGTTGGTTCGATTAAAAAAAACAGATCGTATTTATGCAATGAAAGTTGTGAAAAAAGAGCTTGTCAATGATGACGAGGTAAGCACAGCACTGTTTTCCTACTGTTGGCTGCTAAACTCATAGCATATGCAAGGCCCTTGGTTTGATCCACAGTACCACAAAAACTATTGAATTAGTTTCAGGGAAGGAATCATTATTCTTCTAGGGGCCATTTGGATATTTGTAACATTATTTTACAGGCCTAGATTTATTAAATGTGGCTTTCTAGGATTGATTTTAATTTTTTTTGCCAGTAACTGGGGCTTGAGCGAACACAGGGCCTCACACTCTCACTTGGTTCTTTTCACTCAAGGCTGATGCTCTGTCTCTTGACCCATGCCTCCACCCTTTGTTTTGCATGTGTTACTTTTGAGGTAGGGTTTTGCTTCATGGCCAGGCCTACCTGGGATGCAGTCCTCCTCCTGTGCATCTCCATGTTGCTGGAGGATCAGTACTGCCATGGCACCCAGCCATCGTTTGATGTGGAGTTTCAGGAACTATTGTCCGGACTATTCTTTTTTTTTTT